AAAGAATTCAGACGTTATTCATACATCAAATAAGCCATAATAAATAGGCTAGCCCAATAGGTCTTCTAATGGGCTTAAGCTGGCATTATAAGCTAGTCCATTAAATGATCAAGACTTCAAAGATGGAGCTCGGTTGTTCGTTTTTGGGTATTTTTTTTAGATTTATTTTAAAAGTTCGATTAAGCTTTCTTATGTATTTCGTTAATCATATTGTGTATTGTCTTTTTTCACTCTACGGACTATTTTAACTTTGTATTGTCACTTTGCACGAATCATATTTAGATGCAAACATCGTAAACTGCATCGAACCACATTGCAAGGTTTGAGGCATATACGGTTTAGCTTATGGTTTGGAAAAAAAAAGCTCAAACCATATATGAGGTTTAATTTACAGTTTCGTTCAACTGCACTGTAAACACCCCTAAGTAAATTACAAGGGTATTGTTCACTGTATATATTCTTTAATAATCCAAAATTGATTAGAAACCCGGAACCGTCCATACGTACCGCATTTTCCTATTCAAGATGAATAATCATTATTAATAACATTTTTTATGAATATAGAGATGTTATTAATCATGAAGCATACACTTGTGATGAATATGAACATGCTATTCATCATGAATCACGTCCATATAATCTTGTATGCCATGTGTCATGTTATGTGTGGTCCCTCAGTTCCTAATCAATTTCAGATTCCTAACGAAACATGCCCTTATCTATCTATCTATACATATGTATATACGTGTGTGTATATATATATATATATATAGGCGGGAATTCAAACGAGAACCTATCTATTTTGCAAAAATACGAAAACAGTTGTAGGCATGTAACTTTTTTAACCAATAATTTAAATTATAATAAAATAAAAATAAATCAATAAGGGTAGTAATTTAATTAGGTATTTTTTTTATATTATTGTAATTATCCCATGATTTTAGATTGGAATCTGTTAAAGCCGATCACTTTTCCACCGTTTTATGTATCGATTGTGATATTGTCGGTTTTGAATTCCTTTTTCATCTGACAGTGGAAGATTCCAATGGTTTTGGTAAGGAATCTATTGTGATTTTGTTGTGATATTTGTGTGGTAGAATTGAATACAACCACTGTTCGATCACTCTATTGTGATATCGATTCTGTTGTGATAAATACGTGATACACTTGAATACAATCCTTATTTGATTACTTTATTACGATATCATTGTGATATTTGTGTGAAAGAGTATTGAATACAACCGTATTCAATTACTCTATATAATATCATTGTGATATTTTTGTGATAGAGTATTGAATACAACCCCTGTTCGATTATTCTATTGTAATATCTATTGTGTTGTGATAAATATGTGATAGCCTTGAATATGACCCATGTTCGATTATTCTATTGTGATATTGACTGTGTTGTGATAAATATGTGATACACTTGAATACAGCCCATGTTCGATCACTTTATTGCGATATCAAATGTGATGTGATAAATATGTGATACAACCCTAATCGATGATAAACAATAATCAAAGCCCTAATCACTAGAAAACCACCATCGCCGATGTTATCACTTCCCCGATGATCGAAGTAATCGTGATCGTTTATTTGAATGTTATCATTTAAATTTCTAATAATTTTACCCTTCCACGTCAATTTTTTTTTTGAAATTTTCTTAATGCTAATTTTAATTTAAAAAATCCCTAGGGAATGGTTCAAACGAGAACCCCTGTGATTTATGAAAACGCGAGAACAGTCTCTAAACCAAACATTGTGTTCTAAATCAAATTTTAAGAGAAATTTAAAGATTTTTCAAATTTAAATTAATAGTAAAAAGTTTTCAGAAATACTAAAGACGTGAAAGGGTAAAGTTGGAAATTGGTATTGCTAAAATTATCAACAACAATAGGCCAAAATCAAGTAACATACAATGTATATGTTTATCAGATTGTTTACCTATCACATGATTAATACAGTCTAGTTAGACCACATTCACAATGTGAATCAATGATAACCTATCTGTTTTGATCAATTAACACAGTTTGTTCTATTGTCGACGACATAAAGGCAAAATCGAGTAATAGACATGTATATATTTACTAGATTGTATGCTTATCACATGACTATCACAGTCTAGTTAAGCCACATTCACTGTGTGGATCGATGATAACCCTTTTTATTTTGATTGATTGGACTCTTCTATTCTCGGTTGGAAAAAGGATTTGAAACTGAAAATTTCACATTATGATTGAATATACAGATACAGTAAACGATCGAGACGTTAGAAAAGACATGATCAAATTCCAATCGAAAATCATGGATAATTACAATTAATTAAAATAACATAAAAATTATAAAAATAACCTAATTACATCACTAACCATATTGATTTATTTTTATTTGTTATAATTTAAATTATTGATTAAAAAGGTTAAAGGCCCACAACTAGGGGTGCTCATGGATTGGGTTGATCGGGTTGAGGACATTTGAACAACCCAACTCAATGCTTGCTGTTTGGAAAAATCTTAACCCATCCCAACCCAAACCAAAGTGCAACCCAACCCAACTCGTACGGGTTGGTCGGGTTAGTCGGGTTGGTCGGGTTGATACTTTGGTATATTAAAATATTCTTCTAACCTTGAATATGTTATTTCTCTACTCATAATTTCTTTTTCATCATCAATCACTTGATACAACTTATTCATATTTTTTATGTATATCACATTCAGTTAATTTTCTCAATTTACATATATATGTTCACAGTTACTGAATGAGTTATATAGAGATATATCTATATTGAAAATATGTGTATATGAAAAGCATACATGATAGTGTAATTGTTTAATGTATATATTAATAGAAATTCAACAATCATATTAAATCCAAGAAATAAAAGGATATCGAGTTCATCGGGTTGGGTTGGGTTCAAAAAATAGTAACTCAATATCAACCCAACACCTACGGTTTGACAATTTTACAACTCGATTAGACATCGGGTTGGGTTATTTTGCGTTGGGTTGGGTTGATCGGGTTGGTCGGGTTTTTGAGCATCCCTACCCACAACTGTTCTTGTATTTTTACTAAACAGAGGGTTTCTTGTTTTAACACCTCTCTCTCTCTATATATATATAAAGAGAGAGAGAGAGAGAGATGTGAGATATTATACAACCTTTTACATTTGTACAACCAAGATAACTCAACCTCAACCGTCCGTTTAATTTATTATGCTTTAAATATTTATGGAAGATGACTAGAGTTCATTAATTATAATCAAAACTTTTATGAAATCATATATTCATTAAATTAAATGGACGGTTGAGATTGAGTTGTATTGGTTGTACAAATGTAAATGGTTGCATAATAACTTTCACACACATATACCATGTATATATATATTATATATAGAGGAGCAATCAAATGAAAACCGCCCTCATTTGTGTAAATCATATAAACCAATCTCATCCATCCATTTTCTTGATCAATGGTCAAGATTAGTTTAGTTTAACTTATATTAAAAAATAAAAAATAAAAAAAATTATTTTTTAATTGGAAAAAAGGGCAAAATTGTAAAACCGTTTATATCAATAAATCGGGTATAATCATCAGTTTCCTTAATCAACCCAACTTTGAATAAGGAAACAATATTTTTAAGTATTACATTTAATGAATGAAATGATTTCACTGTATTTTTTATGATACCCAAATAAACGTCTTTCTAGATGAGTCATCTATCATTTTCATTTTCTCAGAAGATGGATCCGTTTCAACCTTATTATGAAATTGTTTCACGTACTGTTTGCCTATTAAATGAGACATTTGTCATTTTCATGTTTTTGGTAGATGGATCAGTTTCAATCTAATTATGAAATGGTTTCACTGTTTGCTTATTACACATGTTCTTAACAATTTATGAAATGGTTTCACTGTCGTTATGCAATTTTGAAACGGTTTCACTGTTTGCTTATTACATAACATGTTCTTAGCAATTATAAAATGGTTTCACTGTCGTTATGAAATGGTTTCACTGTTTGCTTATTACACAACATGTTCTTAACAAAATGAAACAATTTCATCAATAATTGTTGATAAGAAAACTAGACTATGCATGAATATTATATTACACAACCAGTTCATCCCCAAAAGTTTCATAAAACAAGCTACTCAATGAACGTTTTCACGAACCAATCTGCATACGTTTCATAAAACAAGCTTCTCAATGAACGTTTTGTAAACAAATATAACATGAATCTGTTTTACATTTGATTATATTTTTACCGATTCATGAATTTTTGTTAGGATCTGTTACTAATTTTGTGAATTAATTAATATAATAATTTTCGTCTTTTAATATTCTTACCCCTAATAAACCGAGAAACATTTTTAAAATTATAATTTAAATAAACATTTAAATATTATTATTTATAAAATTTTCTTTATTATATTACCTTAATTAAAATTTATTAATAACTTCCATATTTAATAGAAAACAATGTAAATGACAAATCTATCCTTAATGATTAAATTTAATTAAGAAAAAAAGAATTTTCTTATTGGTCGAAATTAGTTTACACGGTTTCTAAGAATTAGACGGTTTTTATTTGATCCCGTCTCTCTCTCCCTCTCTCTCTCTCTCTCTCTCTATATATATATATATATAGGGTTGGATTCACGTGAGATCAAGAGTTTTTTGTGAGACTCGTAAGACCAACTTATGTTCATTGATCAACTTTATAAGCTAATGGTCTAAAGTTGCATTGTGACAATTTTGTGTGTATTGAGAAGTCTCGTGGCGTTTATGAATATTCAGATTGTCATATTATAGATCTAATCCAAGGGTTGAGAATTGTCTTATAGGTCTCACGAAAAACTTTTGATCTCACATGATCTCAGGTTTATATATATATATATATATAATGGTATATGATATTTGATAAATTATGTCTTGAGAGAATGAAATATTCATTTCATTAATAATCACTTAAATCAACTAACCATCCAAAATCATTTATTTATACGTCCACTAGCTAAAAATGAGCATCATAATGTCTCAAAACTTGAACTTAACGTAGTTTCCTTAACTCTAGGAATTTCTTACACTTGAAATCCGAGGACGAAAGAAACTCCAGAAAATCCGCATAGTTTGTATCTCGATAACGTCGTGGGTTGGACTCGTCGATCAGTTCTGGTGACGGCCTAACGTTATGGTTCACCGGTAGGCTGAATAACGTGGCCACGGAGAGTCGAGAGCTCATCGAGTTAACCGCCACCCTGTGCACCACACTCTTGTATCTTCCGTTGCTAAATATCTGTCGCAAAAACACGAGTTTTAGGCTTTCAAGATATTACCATCACAACAACAATCTTATGAGACGGTTTTTGGCTTAATCAGCGGTTAATTAATATAACCTCATTTTTGTTGTAATATTGCGTTAAGATAGAAATTAAATATGTAAAAATGGTCGAGAAGTAACCAACCTCAAATTGGTCGCCGATGTTGACAACCAACGAATTAGGGATGGGTTTAACGGTGAGCCATCGACCTTTATGTTGTATTTGAAGACCTTCGACTTGGTCTTGAAGAAGAAGAGTGAGTAAGCCATAGTCGGAGTGTGGTGGGAGACCCAGTGTGAGTTGTGGTTGTGGGCATGACGGGTAGCAGTTCACCATGGTCAGCTGATTCGCATCATCCAAAATGGCCTTGTCTTCTTCCATCACTCCAAGGCTCGCCAGGATCGCCTCCATTACCATTCTGTACAAATCTCTGCTTTCACTCGAGTACTTACCCACTGCTTCCCTGTTGTTTGTTGCAAATCAATCGTCCCATATTCAGCACTTCCACATATACATATATATATATATATATATAGATATAGATGTAGATATAGATATAGATATAGATATAGATATGTGATACTAACAATCAACGTAAAGTCGAGCGAATCACGTGTGATTTACACGTGCTTTTGTAAAATCACATGTGATTCGATGGTTTTCTTATTATCGTGTTTGGTTAATGTTCTCGTCTAATCTGAGTCCACGTATACATGTGTGTGCATTAGTAAAATCAATTTTATAGCCATATATATATATATATATATATATATATATATATATATAGGG